GGGACGGCTTAGGTCCATCGGGACCGTCCGGGGGGGGAGATATCGACTGCAATCCTGGGAGCCCAGGATCGCCCGCCGTATCGCCGCGACACCAGCTCTGCCCTCCTCAATGTTTTAATTTTCAACCATTGAATAATTGGCTCTCTTTTCAGAGCTTATTCCTTGATTTCTTGAGTATATGGAACACATTTTTCTAAACAACAGTGCAGCAGGGGAGATTGTGCAATATATTTTTTCAGGCATATAGCAGTACTGTGAAGGGTTATAGTGATTATAATGATTGTCTCTTTCAAACAAAACAGCTGCTGTTTAATTGGCAAATATTGCATGTGAGCTATTTCAGCAACATATTGTGCTCATTTAGTATGAAAATTATTCTCCTGTGACTTAAGATAAATATTTTTTAAAGACCTGAGTCTGGCTGCAAGTCTAAGCACAGTAAGTAAATATAATTCACTAAACTCATTAGGATCTCATTGAACTCACTAGGATTCTTGAATAAACATGTTTAGGATAACATTGATACTTTATGTGTAATTTTTTAACAAAATATTTAAAAATTGGTTGGCATTACATGTACAGCAACATCGTTCACCTTCATGCGCTCTGTGAGTACCTTTCCATACCGATGGAAGTTTTTGATAGGGCAGCCACATCTGGGCTGCAAAAATCTGGATGACAGCTAGTTGGCAACAGAGAGATACAGCCAGAGTTTTCTGTGTCTCTTTGCTGCCTTCTAGTGGTTGTCCAGATCTGTAGCTTTATACCTTTGCTCTCATCTAGGGCTTGACCAGATGTTTGCAGCCCAGATGTTTCACTCAGGACAAGCAGTTGTACTGCTGAATAATTATCCAAGGGATTGGAAATTGTTTAAGAAACTGTAGTATAATTTCTTGATAATTACTGCAGTTCTTCTTCCAAAAGTATTTTGGGTTAATACTTAATATCCTGGAGCACATTAGCTAAAGAAATGTCTTTGTCGATTCAAGTATGTAAGAAAAGTTCCACAGGTGTTTATATTGGAGCCAGGACATCTCACCTTTTATAGACATACAGTATTCACCCATTCATAACTAACTGAAATAGCAACCACTTAGCCACAGGGATATAAAAAATCCATTGCTCGTCAGTTGAAAATAAATCTACTACCAGCAATATATTCTGTGGCAAAGGTATTTTGAGGCCTAATAAAAATGAGTTAATTCCTTGCTGCCTTCTTGTGGAGCCCCTTACTATGAAGAGGTTGCTTCTACCCATGGCTGCTGTGCCCTAACCCACATAGCCGGGGGATTGTTTAACTATAGTATTTGTACACTGAACTGTTCAGATGGCCCTGATGTTAATTTAGAACATCACTTTTTTATCAATAAAAGTACGAGTGTGCCTTGTCACATTAAAAAAAAAAAATCACCTGTGTTTTGATATTCTTTTGATTTTTTTTTCCTTCAAGCTTACAGATATTTTGACGGCTATAGCCCTTTATTTAGCTGTTCAGGATTACAACAAAGTTTTGGTGAGTAGATAAATGCCAGTTTTTATTTATATTACTTTCATTGCATTTTCTGCATACTGTTACCTCCTTCCCAGCTTCTTTTCTAAATAATGTTTTCTTTTTCTGACATTTTACATATTGGTTATTTGGGCTGAGAATTCTGGGAGTTGTCAGAGCACATTTGGAGAGTATCCAGCTGGGGAAGGCTGGTCTAGTCAGACAGCTTAACTTGACTTGGAGCTGCTTTGCAGTGAACAGTATTCCATTCAAAATACTGTTTTGAATAATTTCCTGTGTCAGTTGTTGGCAGAGCTGCTTTTAATCCATAATGAACATCTAGCACTTCCAGTTTTAGACTGAACAGTAACTTTGAAGGGTATGTCCTTAATTCAAGAACAAGGGATAGACTAGGTTTTTTTTGCAGAGGAAAGCTAATTAAGTTGTCTTTAAGACTAATGAATTCTTACCAAAGCCTTTAAAATATAATTGCATATATTCTGCCAATCCCATAAGATCTGGCAGGGTTGGCATGCTCTGTGTCCCATCAATGCCATCTTGTGGAACCCTGGAGGCATGTCTCTTATATCGCTACTTCTGCCCTCTGGAAGAGCATTCCCCTCTTCACCTTCAGGAAAATGTTAAAATTTGGCTTTTTTGGCAAATTCTGGGCCTCGGCAATTTGTGAACCCATTTGAATGTCAGTCTTAATTTTTTCTATTGTTATTTAGGCATTGATCCTCTATTATTTTTATGACATTTTAAGATTTTATTGTACACTGCCCTGAGTCATTGCCAATTAAATAGTATTACAAATTAAATTACATAAATAATAACTAATGAATGAAAGATGAGCATAACCCATGGATGGTCATGAATATGCTTCTTAATAACAGCAGGCTCCTCCCCTTCCCTCTGCTGTATTGTTTGTCTATGACTTCCATTCTTAGCAACTGGAGAAACCAGCTTGTTTTAGGATAATTTTTTATGTTTAGCTGCAGACAGAAGTTTTAGACAGATGGTAGGAACACATTTTGCATAGTCACAAGCAGAGGACACAATAATACAGGTCAGTGACTATTTGAAATACATGTTAGGCAACATGTTGAAGACAGCTGGCATGATTAAGTTGTCCAGTTGTGGGTTGGATATGCTGCACCTTACTATACATTGCAACTTATCTTCATCTATAAACTCATTATATCTGCAAGGAAATCAGGGCATATGTAATGGTAATAGGTCAAGCTGAAAAAGTTTGGTGTAAATGTTGAATTTATAAACCTGGGTAACAATCCACAGAGATAAGTATTTCCTGTAGGCACCACCATAAATATGGGTAGAGTTGCTAAACAAATACATTATTTTGTACTTACATATTTTTTTTCTCTCTATTCAGTTTAAAAAGCAAAAACTGCTAATAGAACTGGATAAATATGCACCTGATGCAACTGAGCTTATCCAGACTCCTATGGAAATGTACTATATTCCTCTCAAAGTAGCACTGTTGTAAGTATTGCTTTTCAGTAGATGTAAAGCTTCTAATACTTGGATTGTTAATTATTGCTTCAGGCTACAGTCAGGTTAACACTGTAGTGCTTGTCTGTGTCCTCCTTCCATAGAAAACAGTTTGAGGACTAGTGGAACAGCATGAAGTTATGGCTTGGGGGCCTTAGTGTGCAAATGGAAATGCCTTTGCAAGAAATTGTTTGGCTCCTGCTCATTGCTTCCTATCATATTCTAGATGCTTTACAATTATAAACAAAACATCCATACCACATTATAATCTAGAAAGATATGAGAAGAAAAATGAAACTCTTTGAAACATTTTTTTTTTTACTGATTATGTACCATCAAGTCATTTTTGACTCCTAGCAATGACATACATAGATTTTCTCCATGATGATCTATCCCTAACCTATCCCTGGTCTTTCAGTTCTTCTAACCCATTGCCACTGTAACTGAGTCCATCCACCTTGCTGCTGGTCGTCATCTTCTTCTCTTTCTTTTTTAGAAATAGGTTGAGGTAATATATCATCACAATTAATGTACAGAGAAGATATATTAATGTATGTCCAGATGTGTTGATGGTAATTGACATTTTAAATAAAACAGTAATTCCAAAATAAAATAAGAAATACTTGTTACCTCTATATTTCAATTCAGTCAGTGGTGAAAGGTCAGTTTTATTTCTATCCTCTAACTGGACTGAATTGATACTAAGCTGGCAATGCAGCAGGGAGTGAAGGAATCTTGATGCTTGAAACAAGATATCTCACTTTACACACCTAACCAGCAAGAGCTTGAAATTTCATTTTGGAATTATGCCAGTTTGATTTATTTTATGAGCTCTTAATCAGAATTCAGCTTAGTTTAACCAGGTGAGCTAAATTCAGAGAACTTTCTTGTTTCTACCCTAACTAATGAGCAAAATGCTCATTAATGCTAATTGGAACATTCTTTTAAAGGAAATACTATGTAATGCCTGCACACAGACAATCTTCCAAGATCTTAAGTATTTTTTTCTTACATTATAGTTTGCTGCTATGTTCAAGTTGTCAAGCTATCTATGATTTGGTTAAGAAGATAAAGTGCAGGAGAGATTGGAAACTAGTTGATTTATCTTCCTTATAAAGAAAGCTTAGGAGCATTTACTTTATTTTTGAAGATAATGTGCCTCTTATTTTGCATTTTGAGAAGTCTATGACTTTGAGTGATTGAGGGGTACTAGTCAGCTCCGGATTTGAGATTTGTTTAAATTGGATCTGTACCCCAAATAAGACAGCTAGTTTGGTGTAATGGTTAAGGCATCAGGCTTGAAACTGGGAGACCATGAGTTCTAGTCCCACCTTAGGCACAAAGCCAGCTGGGTGCCCTTGGGCCATTCAACCACCCTCAGCCCTAGGAAGCAGGCAATGGCAAACCACTTCTGAAATCTTGCCAAGGAAACTGCAAGGACTTGTCCAGACAATCAGCAGGAGTCAAGGCTGACTTAAAGGGACCAAAACCAACCAACTAAACAAACAAACTTAAAAACCCCAAATGGAGCTGTGCAGACAAACAAATGTCTAGGCATACAGTTGCCTGTTGAAAGATCCAGAACATTCACTTTTATTCCTGAAAACGTTATTATAAAGATAATGATTATTCTTACATTTTATCTGCCAAAATGGCAGGTCACCTATTGATCAGAGTGTGTCTGCTCTTTTGCTTATATACATATCTACCCACACACTATTGCCTTCTGGGAAAACAAGTATTATGCAGAGCACCGAAAAAGAGTAAGAAGTACCAAGCAGATGAAATTACAGGCAGGAAATAAGAGAAAAAGAAATCTAGTTTACACCAACACCATTTACTGTACCTTTCCATATCTTTCTGTCCTTGAAAACTATCCTTGTTTCTACTAACAGGTAGCCCTTGACTTACAACCACAATTGAGACCAGAACTTCTGTCACTAAGCTCACTTAACTGTTAAGTGAGTCATGCCCAATTTTACGACCATTTTTTGCTGTGGTTGTTAAGCGAATCTGGCACCATTGACTTTGCTTTTCAGAAGCCCCCTGGGAAGGTCACAGATGGCAATCACATGACCCCAGGACGCTGCAACCATCATAAATACATGCTCATTGCCAAGTGCCCAAATTTTGATCATGTGACTATGGGGACGCTGTGATGGTCGTAAGTGTGTGGACTTTTTTCAGTGCCGTCTTAACTTCAAACAGTTGTTAAACGAATGGTCATAAGTCAAGAACTACCTGTATGTCTGTATACTTCTTCATACATTGCATCGCCTCACCTTCTTTTTGAGGGTCATCACCTCCATCCAACCATAGCTTGCTTGTCTTTTCCTTTCATTTCAACCCTTTCACTCGCCCTTCATATATGGATTTTGTGATTGGATGCATTTCTGTATGACTAAACCATCCCAATATACTTCTTTTGTACTGATTTACTCTTTTTAGTGCTTTCTAAGTAGAAAAGCTTTATTTATTTTAATTTATACCCCACTCTTCAGCCTAGAATGCATATTATCAGAAGATTCCTACAGTAAGATTTTATACACTCCTCATTTCCCATAAGAGGAAATGCTGTCTACTAAAGATGCTCAATATTCATTTTTTCCCTTAGTGGATGGGATTGACATTTTTAGCTTTTTTTTTTTTCATTTTTTCTGAAAGCCTCAGAGTTTTTCCCATTCAAAATTAATAGCTCCTTCATTTTCAGTGGCTCATTTTGGCTACAACCCTTTTAGCCTTCACTGTTTGGTGGTCTCTCTAGCTCTGAAAAGTTCAGAGTATAACAGATTTTGTGTGTTATACCGCGCTACAAGTAAGTCCTATGGCATTCAAAAAGACAACCTCAGTATATAAGGGTACAGCCTTAGTCAGGTAAGAGGTGACTAGACAAGACATCAGAAAAGGAGAAAAACACTTGTATTATGTCAGCCTAAAAGCTTGTAACACATTAATATGAAAAAGATACCAGTCCAGTCCTTCAAAGGCAGAGTATTTATTTCATATTCATTTTTCCCAATGATTTATTTTGTTTTTCTTCTCTGAAGCACACCTTACATTTTCTATTGGCTAAGTATGTATTCCTGTGTAATATCATTGTCTTTCTGAATGGACTGTATTACAAATGTACTTTTTCTTCTCTGATGCTTCCCTTTCCTCCATCTTGGGCAGTGCTGGGAAATATAGGAGTTTGATTTAGGAGAACAATACTTTTTTTGACAGAATTCCAGCGC